CCATGGCGTGGCTTCGACGCCATGGCAGCGCGTCGGAGCTTCCACGGCAAAGAAGAAAGGCCGACGTAACCGCCACGGCGGCGCGTAAGTGACGGGAGGGGCGAGAGGACGCTGCGGAAGTGTGAGGATCGGCCTGCTCTAGTACCATGTTGAAATAAGTTTAGGCGCTAGGTAGCCATGAGAGGGCGAGAGGTTTTAACTAGGAAGCAAATTTAACGAGAGAAAAGAAATGTTGGACTAGAAGAGAGAGGGATACAAGAAGGGTGTTGTTGTCGTGGCACTGGGATAACCCTGTCGATCCTCTCTCTCTGTCTAGGGAGGGTACTAGGGAGGCTTTCCCTAGGGAAGGTGGATATATGGAGCCTAACCCTCCTTATGACATCCCTTCTTGTCCCAGTGGTTAGGACTGGTGACTTTATGACAGTTGTACCCTCTATAATAGGATTAAGTAATTATAGCACACCTACCAAGTCTACACAAATATATATATATAATATATAAATATAATTTGACACAAGCTTGCGTTTTGGGTTGCTTAGCAACCCTATACAATCGTTTTCACTTTTGGTGCACCATAATATGAACCCTTTAGAATCTACGTTTGGTTGCCATATTGCTAGGTTCTACAGCTACAATTCGTGTTTTCTTGTCCAAAGTAATATGTTCGTAAAATTTCAATGCATTTGTGTCAGCCACAAATGCATCCACAATTTACCACCACTCGTGGGTGCTCAGACAAGCATGTGATTCCCACAATTCGACCGTCGATAATTTTAGCGGAAAAAGATGGAACCACAGATGCTACCATGGATACACAAATGTCGTACGGTATGTAGCTATTTGCAGTGCATACGACTCGTAATTGTGTATTTTTTGGCATGCACGCGTCGATAAATACGGCGGCAAAATAGCAATAAGACACATCAGCTTCTTATAATCAACAGCACAAATAGTTTTCCGCAATAATGCAGCACAACAGTAAGAACAAACATAGGCATGCTTAGAAGAAAATGCACGAAAGCATCTATGCATTTCAATCGAGATTGACATTTCCGGCCGGGCACAGAATTTCCGAAGAAATCTACCCAAACCAACATGCAATATCAAATTGCGTTATGCATATAGCTTATATGCACCACCCCAATGCATCCCAACAAAATGACACGTAGACACACATGCAATAAAACATACACCACAGGGGTACAACAAAACGAACGACACATATCACATGCGTATACACATCCAATATGCACAAAAAGGAAAGGGGTAAACACAAATAAATGCTCTAACACTCAGAAATACCTTAAACCAAAAGCATGCTGATCTACGACTGTCTACAAAAACTTCAGCCCCATCTTTATTCCCCCCTCCTTCCCACCTCTTTCCCCACCACCCCCCCCCCCCCCTCCCTCTCTACCCTCCCCACCCTTTCTGCCCTCCCCCTTTCCACCACCCCTTCCCCCAACAGTTACCCTCTCCTTCTCCCATCTTTTCTGCATTCCACACAACCTATACCCTTCTCCATCATTGTAAACAAAATTTCAGAGCTCCATATGCTCACTGCATGCAAGAGTAAAAACACAATGAAAAGCAATCAGTTGACAATGTGGCAGCTTGCGAGCCTATAACAGCCAAATTGTTGGGTTTGATTCAGCATAAAGGCATGTGGCATGACGTCAATTCTCGTGCATGGAATACTCTCACATCACGTCCCATGATGGTACAAAAAATAAGACACTATTTGACGGAATTGCGAACAAAAGAACGAAAGAACAAAAGAACAAAGAAAAAGAATCTGAAGGAAAATAATAGAACAAAATAACAAAAGAAAAAAAGAGCGAAGAAGGAAAGAGCGTAGGAGAGGGAGAGAGAGAGAGCGAGAGAGAGAGAGAGAGAGAAAGAGAGAGAGAGAGAGAGAGAGAGAGAGAGAGAGAGAGAGAGAGAGAGAGAGAGAGAGAGAGAGAGAGAGAGAGAGAGAGAGCCTAAGTCCCTTCCTCTCTATTTAAGGCCCTTCCCTGCCTCATTTCCCCTGTTTAGTTTTCAGTTATTCTTTCTCCTACCCTTGGTGGCGGCTCGCGTCGGCGGCCGAAGGCCGCCGACGCTCGCAGCGCGGCCTTCGGCCGCGCGGGAGGGGGTGGCAAGTCCCACATTCCAATATACCGCAACAAGTACAACGCATGCTTGATGGAGCCCCGCCAACTCTAGACTAGGACCTGCAACGCGTATCCTACGTTGGCCAACAGGCTCACATGAAGCAACTGATACGCCGGGCAGGGGCGCTCCGACTGCAGGACTCACCGCCCGGCCGCACCTACTCCCGCCGCTCTGCTATTCCGCGACAGCCGCCAGCCCGGCCTCCTCCAGCAATACGGCCTGGTACGACAACAGGACCTGCAGCGTGGACACGGCGCCAGCTACAAGCCCTGCAGCTGGCGCCGAGTCTATGCTCGCCGACACCTGGCGGAGAGCGGCGAGCAGGTGAGGGTCCGTGCCTGTTCCCCGGGCGGGCCTGGGCCACGCGCGTGCGGCCTCCACAGCGAGATCTATGGCTGCTTCCATGCAGCCCTGAAGGGGGAAGTACGGGGCCATTGACCGGCCCCCTGAGCTCCCCAGCGCGGAGCTCGCCGCCGCCAGCATCGTCAACAGTATCTCAGTCCCCCTCCGAGCGTGCCCAAGGCGACGAAGTATGGCAGCTGGGACCAATATCTCCGCGGGAGCCACCGTCGGTGGCCCCCCTGTCGGCGGGCTCCTTCGTGTCGCCACCCCGGTCCGACGACCACGACGGGGAGACCACTCCCCTGGTGACTCCGCGCCCCCCGTCTCCGCTGCTTCTGCCCCCGCCTCTACACCCTGTGGGGATGGCGCCCGTCGCCGAGGGGGAACAAACGGACCGACCACACCCCCTCCGCGGTAGAGCCCCACCTGGGGCTCAGACCACTCCGCCGCCCCGGCCCATGACGAGGGGTGATGCCACTCCGGGAGCGTATCGGCGGATGACGCGGGGCTGCCTAACTGGGGCGCTGGCAGGAACGGATGGCGCAAGTCATAGTACCCGAGGGGGGAGAGGACCGGCGCGTGCGAGGACGGCGGAGGCGCGACATGGTGAAGGACATTATACGGGCCCCCTGGCGGCACATGCTGTCGCGGAGGCGCCGGCGCAGATGGGAGCGGAACTGCCGGAGGTGGCGCCGGGAATTGTACGCTCGACTGCTCCAACCCACGCGCCATTGCGGGTTTAGGTTGCACGGGCCGCGGCATCGGGGGAACCGCACCAACAAAAGCGGGCTGGACGGGGAGGGGCGGTGGAAGGACTCGAGGAGGAGATGGAGGCTGCGTGGGAAGGGGGAGCCGTCGGGGGGGCTCCTGCTGCGGGGGCGTTGGGAGCAGCCCAGCGCCGGCCCGCTCGAGTATCCCCTCCAGCGTTGCGGCGGTCCGCGCCAGCCGCCTCTCCAGCGCACTCCCCCTCCGCCCCCGACGCGTGCCAGCGCGCCCCAAGGGGCCATTTGGCGCACGCTGCTGTTGCGGGAGGGGCCGAGATGGCATCTCAGGGGGGGGGCGTGGACCCGCCGCACATGATACAGCAGGCGGCGACAACGCAGCACGAGGACACTGGCGTTCCTCTGCCATCGCAGCCCGCCCTTACAACCGAGGCGGCGTCGCCGCACGCACCCGATTGGGGGACGCTGGCGCGCTCGTGGACGGCGCTGGGAGCCCGCGTGCCCACCGCCGGTCAGACAGGGGAGGGGAGCTCGACCGACCTCGGGGGAGGACGTTTTCCCCCGAACTCTCGCGATCGACGGAGCGCTCTCTTCGCGCGCGATCAGCCCGGTCGGCCATCCGACTCGCCGATGAGCCGAAGAGCGGGCACAGCGAGGCAGCGGGGCGATCGCCCGCCTACACCACGCTCCACACCACAGGGCAGCGCCACGCGGAGGGGACGCGGCGGAGGCAGGGATGGCGGAACCAGGGGCCGTGGTGGTGGCGGGCACGGGGGCGGGCGCGCACGGACAGGCGATCTGGCACGCGACGGTGGCCCGCTGAACGGCTTCCAGCAGGCTGCGGATCGGGCTTTAAGGGACATGGGACTGCAGGAGGCAACTGATGAGGAAGAAAGACGAGACGGTACATATATCCAGGAATCGCACATGGATTCTACCACCGACGATTCCAGTGGCACACTCGGGGAAAGGGCACCGAGGCGGGTAGGGAGTGAGATTCGGAACCCCTCTCCCAGATCCACGGGCCACGGACATATGGGATCACAATCTGCCCGCCCGCTGGACAGTCCCTCCCAGGCAGCCAGGCAACTATCCCCGGAAGAACTGGCCCACGATCCATCACGATTTGCTCAACTGGCCAGTTGGGACATCGCGGTGCTGTGCGATAGTCGCCAGCCCCCTCTTTCAAGGCGACTGCCCCCCTCTATTCGCCAGCTGTTCGCGCTGGCCCTGCTGACGCCCCTCCTTTTCCTCACGAAAAATCCAACTTCAATCGGGGGGTGGCGTTTGTTACTTTTTCTCCCACGACTAACTCTTCGCATGTCATCGCCCAAACGCCCAGATTGGCCCGCGATGGAAACCCGTCTGCAGCAGTTCCTCGCCGGCCAGTGGGACACCCTCTACCAGTCAGCTGCGGCAGCTGTCACTCTGCCTGCGCCCCCTCGCCATGTTCGTGACGACCTCGGGAAAATCTCCCGAGCCGAGGGGCTGGTGCGACGAGGAAGCCTTCGCCGCGCCCTACTGGCGCTCCAGTCTACCCCAGTCAGCGAGTCAACCCCGGAGGTCCTTGACTCGCTGAAGTCAAAACACCCGAGACCGTTGACAGAGGACCTCACGTGGCCCTCCCTGGACGACATCACCCCGCCGGCGCTCGACTTCGCCGATTTCATTTGCCTACTTTCGCGAAGTGAAAATGGGGTCGGAGCCGGCCCCTGCGCGACGCCTCGCTCACCAATCCGCACGTCGCAAAGCTCTTGCACGAAATTGTGCAGCTGCTCCTCGCCGGTAACCTGCCCCAGGAGGTCAGCGAGTTGTTAACTGCGTCCCGCCTGTTAGCCCTTCGCAAACCTGATGGCGGGACACGCCCCATCGCCATAGGGGAATGTCTCCACCGCCTTACTGCCAAATCCGCCCTCATGTCGTCAACCCAGCCCGCACAAGATTATTTTCTGCCACTTCAGTTCGGCGTTGCAATTCGGAGCGGCGGAGAGGCAATTATCCATGCCACCCGGGCTTTCACCTCCGTACGTCCCCGCTCCGTGATTGTCCAAGTGGACCTCACAAACGCGTTTAACAGCATCGAGCGAGGGGCGATCATCACCGCCATTGACGGCTCGCCCCTTCGATCGCTGCTTCCATTTATCCGTTTTTCGTACGGCACCCCGTCGCTCCTGTACCTCGATGACGGGTTCGCCAGCCCACCACTCCTGAGTGCACGGGGCGTCCGACAAGGGGACCCCATGGGTCCCTTGCTCTTTGCTGCCGCCATCCACCCTGCGCTTCAATCAACAGCCACCGCCCACCCTGACGTCCTCTGTCTAGCCTACGCGGACGACGTAACGTTCGTGGGAGAACCGGCCGCCTGCACAGCGGCCTTCCACCACTTCAGGGGCGCCGTGGGGGCCATTGGCCTTACACATAACCCCTCGAAGTGTGGGGCGTGGTCCCCCACTCCTCCCCCACCCGACGCCCTTCCCCCGGACGTCCCCTTCCACAACGAGGGACTATGGGTGCTGGGGAGTTTTGTCGGGACAGCGGAGGGCTCAGCTGCTTTTCTCCGTTCCCAGCTGGCCTCGCTGGCCGAGCCACTCCCCACCATCGCCACCATGGACCCCCAGTCAGCCTCTCTCCTCCTTACGCGCTGCATCTCGCGGCGGGTCAGCTACTTGACCCGCACCACGCCCCTGGACTTCCTCCCACACTCCGAGTGGTCGGAGTGGGGTCGGGGGCTCTTTCACACCCTCCTCGGCGCATGCAACCTCCAACTTCCTCGGGGGGAAGCCGAACGCGTGCGCACCTGGGCTCAGGCCTCGCTTCCACCCTCGCTTGGCGGGCTGGGCCTCTCCGACCCCGCCGTCGAAGGCCCGGCGGCCTTCCTAACCAGCGTCGCTCAGGCACAGCATCTCCTCGCCGCCTTACCATTCGCAGCCGAAGGGCCCCTGGCGTCCGCACTGCCCCCCCTCACCCCCCCCTTCTCCGGCCCCCATCACCTCCATACCTGGCTGGCAAGGTGTGAGGCGGCCATGCCGTCCCATGCACTGGAACTCCTGCGCTCCGAACGCCAGGAGCCCTCTGGCACCCCACTCCAGCACCGACTCTCCCTTGAGGTCCACGCCGCCCGATATGCAGACCAGGTGACGGCGTCCCGCGAGATGGAGCTGAACCCCAGTTCTGGCCACACACAGCGCCTGTTCTCTCTGGCGGGTTACGGGGCAGGGGATTGGCTCCACGCCATCCCCATCTTCCCTTCTCTCCGCCTCGGACCTCCGCACTTTGCCATCGCCCTCGCCTTCCGCCTCGGCCTCCCTTTCCCAGCCCCACGCAATTGCAACTGCGCCGACGAGACCGAGATACATGACCCCCGGCTGCCCAACCACCTCTTCCGGTGCGGCACGGGCCATGGCCGGACAGACACGCACAACGCACTCCGCGACGAGTGCATCCGTATGGCGCGGGACGCGGGGCTCATTGTCACAAAAGAGACCACTATCTACAGTCCGGTGGACGGTCACAAGGCGGACCTAGCCATGCGCGACAGGGTCTCCGGCGCCGTGTGGATCTGTGACGTCACCGTCACGGATCCCATCAGCACCCGGGACCCGCACGCACGCAAGGGGCGGGGTTATATGGCCCGGGAACAAGCCGATAAAAAGATTGACCATTACCGTAACCGCGCACCTTATGTCGGCTTCTTCCCCTTGGCCGTGGAGACCTATGGCTGCCCCTGCGCCAAGGTCCCCAGCTTCCTGAAAGTCCTCGCGGACACGGGAGCTAGACGGCTGTTCAACGCGGACCCAAGCTCCTACCAAGCGGCGAAGCTCCTGCATCAGTTCCGCCAGCGCTGGTCCGTCACACTCCAGCGGGCGCAGGCCCTGGCCTACCTCGGGAAAATCAACGAGGCTGCCCCGGCGGAGAATCCCCCCGTGGGTGCTCCCGGAGCCGAAATGGGCCTAGGGGACTGTTTTGCCATAGCTGAGCCCCTCGGGGAGCTCTAGTCTTCCAGCCACCCACCCCCTGCGTGCACGCACCTTTCATAGTCTCCGGAGTTGGCCCACATGCCTAGTATGTACAACGTCTTTAATCAATACAAGGACCGCTTGAGAGAGAGAGAGAGAGAGAGAGAGAGAGAGAGAGAGAGAGAGAGAGAGAGAGAGAGAGAGAGAGAGAGAGAGAGAGAGAAAGAGAGCGAGAGAGAGAGACAGACAGAGAGGAGAGAGAGAGAGACAGAGAGAGAGAGAGAGAGAGAGAGAGAGAGAGAGAGAGAGAGAGAGAGAGAGAGAGAGAGAGAGAGAGAGAGAGAGAGAGAGAAAAGGGGGGAAAGTGGGGGGGAAGAAGAATGGGAGGAAGAAGGAAAGAGCATAGGAGAGAGTGAGAGAGAGAGAGAGAGAGAGAGAGAGAGAGAGAGAGAGAGAGAGAGAGAGAGAGAGAGGGAGAGAGAGAGAGAGAGGGGGGGAAGGCAAAGAGTGAAACAGGAAGGGTAGAGTGAAGATGGGTGAGGCTTGAAGATGCAATACCAATGGGTAGCGATGAGGGACCGAAACAAAGAGTACTACCGAGGAACTAACAGCCCGACATGTGAGCCGTATATATGCTGGCAGCAAAGACACTTGCATTTTAATGAATTGGATAATTTGCTAGCTGGTGGAATCAAACGAGCCCAATCGAGTGAATTAAAACTATGTGCATAGTACGGAGAGCAAAAAAAAAAACTGGAAATGAAAGCCAGAGAGGGAGGTGTAAAGGCAGTGAGGAAAAACGAAGGTCAAAGAGGGAAGAACAAAGACTAGAAACTAAGCACGAATTGCGATCAAAACTAGTGAGCTCTAAGTGCGATCGAGCAGCAGTTGAACTAGAAACTGCCAACACGCTAGCATCTGGTATGCTACTGTACCATCTGTTAACAGCAACAGCAAGCGCGTCAAGCAAATTTTGTCAGGAAATAGTGTTTAAGCAGGAAGTACGCTAGCATCACTAGTGCTAGGAGCAAGTGCGACGTCACCAAGTGGACTAGCTGAGAGAAGGAGCGAGAGAGTGGGGAGAAAGGTGCGCCTAGCTGTAGTGAGTCTTACCTGCAGTCGGTGGTATGCTCACTCACCTACCGCACGTGCCCTGGCTTCTCCATCCCATGCTTCCTCCTCTCTCTTCTGCCTCCCATCATAGACAGCACGCCACGCCATACTCGCATGGCGCCACGTGCGAAATTCGTCAGCGACAAAGCGACAGCCTGCTACGCGCCAACGCGCTCAGCGCCAGCGCAAAACCCGCCAACGCGCAAGGCGCCAGCGTGAAACGTGCCAGCGTGCAAGGCGCCAGCGCAAAACGCGCCAGCGCGAAACGTGCCAGCGCACACGGCGCCAGCGCGCAAGGCTCCAGCACGAAACGTGTCAGCACGCAAGGCGCCAGCGCGCAAGGCGCAAGCGCGAAACGCGCCATTTTGAAACGCGCCAGCGCCCATAATTTTGCCAGCACGAATCAGTTAGGAGCAGGAACTAGTTACGAGGAAGGACTAGGTACGAGGAACGACTAAGTCCAAGGAAGGACTATGAGGAAGGATTGAGCAACGAGCAGGAACAAGGGACAAGGATTGAGCAAGAACAAACCCTAGCACGGGTGTATTCGCTTTGCCCCAGAAAGCTAACGAATTACAGGCCAGCACCGTTACTGACCTGTCAAGGTAGGAGCACTAAAGAATGTAACATAAACTAGCCTTGATAAGAAAAGAAAAGAAAAGAAAAACACACACACACACACACACACACACACACACACACACACACACGCACGCACGCACGCACGCACGCACGCACACACGCACGCACGCACGCACACACACACACACACACATAACACACACACACACACGTATACACACACACACGCACGCACACACGCACGCACACACGCACGCACACACGCACGCACGCACGCACGCACGCACGCACGCACGCACACACACACACACACACACACACACACACACACACATACACACAGACACACAGACACACAGACACAGACACAGACACAGACACAAACACACACACACACACCCACACACACACACACATACACACACACACACACACACACACACACACACACACACACACACACACACACACACACACACACACACACACACACACACACCTAGCTAAAACCTCTCGCCCTCGTTTGGCTACCTAGCGCCTAAACTTCTTTCAACAGCTTGCACCCATCACAATTGTTGGAAATGATAAAAGAGCTTAACACATTTTAGGAGTCTCTCGTGGGTGTACGAATATGCGAAGACTGCAACAACGAGGATCACCGAGTCAACAATGCTACAGTACCACCGACGGTTGACGCAGATTCACAACACCCCGCAGAGGTTACGAAAGGGCAACAGTCGCAGACCGCTGACCGTGCAACCCAGCAGTCAAAATCGCAAGAGTCAAGAGTCAGCGCAACAGTAAGGACAAATAGCCGTCCCGATATTACAGTACGGGTGGTTACCCGAGTCGCCTTATCGAGTCGTAAAAAATGGAATGTAGCTCTTGAAGTGCACAAAAGTTAGACTCGTCATATTCTCTTGTATTATTATATAAACCTTGTATCCCTTTGCTACAATCAATCACTTGTTCTCACATACCAATACAAGGGTGTCAAACATATCTTTATATGTTACTGTAGGCTAGATAGGTGCGTACTCTTAGAGAGTACAACCCCTTAGCACAAAACCACAGTGTATCACACATTCTAGTTACTTCGCTACTTTGATATGGTATCACGCTAGGTGAGGTTCTCCCCACCCACCCGCGCTTCCGCCCTAGCCCTAGACCTAGCCGCCCATCGCTAGCCGCCCGTAGCTAGCAGACCGTAGCTAGCCGCCCGTCGCCAGCTGCCCGTAGTCGACCGTTGCCTCGCGCCCGCTGGCCCCGCGATCGCCAGCCCCACACCCGCTGGCCCCGAGCTCACCAGCCCAGCGCCTGCTGGTGCCGCGCCCGCCTGCCCTGCACCCGCTGGCCCCGCATTCGCCAGCCCCGTGCTCCCTGGCTCCGCGCCGGCCGGCCCCGCACTCGCCAGCCCCGTCCCGGTAGCCCCGCGCCCGCCAGCCCCGCCCCCGTCGGCCCCGCGCTCGCCAGTCCCGCGCCCGCTTGCCCCACACCTGCTCGCCGCTGGCTCCGCACCCGCCCGCTGGCGCCCGCTGGCCCTGATCTCGCCAGCCCCGCGCCCGCTGGTGCCGTGTTCGCCAGCCCCATGCCCGCCAGCCCTGCACCCGTCGGCCCCGTGCGCCCGCTGGCCCCGCGCCTGCTGGCCCCGTACCCGCTCGTCCAGCACCCGCTGGCCCCGTTTTCGCCAGCCCCACACCCGCTGGCCACGCGTTCGCCAGCCACCCGCCGCTGGCCCCGTGCTCGCTGGCCCCACACCTGCCGGCCCCTGCGCTCGCCAGCTCCGTGTCCGCCGGCCCCTTCACCTGCTGGCCCCGCACTTGCCAGCCCCGCGCCTGCTGGCCCGGCGCCCGCCAGCCCTGCGCCCGCTGGCCCCATGCCTGCCTGCTTCGTTGCCCTTGCCCTGCGCTCCCGCCGGCCGCAGATCCGCCGGTCCCAGCCCGCCTCGGCCCTTCCTACCGCCGAGCCGAGCTGACCCACCAGCCTTGGCTCCCCCTCAGAGCCGGCGCTCCCTCCGGCAGCCTCCAATGCACTCCACTGCTCTCCAACGCACTGCACCACACTCCACCATGCTCCACTGCTCTCCACTGCTCTCCACCGCTCTCCACTGCCCTCCTCCGCCTTCCGTCCTTCCCTTGTCAGCGGCAGTCAGCGGCTGCAGCCGTGGTGATGGCGGACTCTCTACTTCGCCTGGACATGGAGGGTCGGCCCGTTGAGTTTGAGGCATGGCTCGTCGACCTCCGCCTCCAGCTGACTGGGCAGCGCCAGGACGGCCACTCCCTGGCCGTCCATGTCGACAGTAAGCTTCCTCGTCCCGCCCCGCCTGCTGCCCTCCCTGACGCCCCCACGTCTGCTGAGCGTGAGGCTTTTATCGCTGTTGAGCTTGCCTGCACTATCTGGGACCCGCGCGACGCCGTTGCACAGCTTGCCATTAGTGATGCCCTTCCCCTGTCTGAGCGTCCCTGCTTTACCACTATAGCACACGCCAGGGAATACTTAGATGCTGTCATCGCGTGCTATTCCACCCCCGCCTCAGCCTCTGCTAGCCGTCTGATCCTCCCCATGCTGAGCCCTGACCTTGCATCCTTCCCCACTGTCGCTGACCTTGCCACTCACCTCCGCGCATTGGAGACTAGCTACCGTGCCGCTAGCACTGAGGCACAGCTGATTTCCGTCCCACCGCCACTTTGAGCTACCCTTAACCTCATTGCCACAAGCCTTCCTGACCGCCTAGCACCCAGGTGACCTCGCCCTTACTGCCTTTGTCACCGCCCTGTCCACGATAGAGACCCGCCAGCGCACTATCGCTTAGTCTAGCGGTACTGCGCCAGTCCCTATCTTCCTGGGCTGTGCTCCCTCCCAGTGCACTTACTCTGATGTCTCTGCTGCTATCGCTGAGACAGCCCCTGCTGCTGAGACCGCTGCCGCAGCCTCAGCACAGCAGCGTCAGGGTAGCAGCCGCCGTCCCAAGGGGGGGCGTGGCGTAGGGAAGGGTGATGGGGGTGGTGGAGGTGGGGCCGGGGATGGTGGTGCAGTCAAGGGGACCAGGGCTGGTGCCCCGGAGCAGCAGCGGCAGCAGCCCCCTCAGCAACAGCAGCAGCAGCCGCCTCAGCAACAGCAGCAGCAACAGTCTGAGTAGAAGCAGCAGCCACCGTGAGGACCCCCACCGCCGTGGTGGCCTAGTGGCGCTAGTGGTGGTGGTCGTGGTGGTGCGCCACACAGCTCGGTGTTGAGTGGCGGCTCAAGTGTGGCCACTTACCTGTACCAGCTTCAGACCGGTCCCCGCTGCGGAACCGTCTACAACCGTCCCGGTCACACCGCCGCCCACTGCTACCGCCGCCTCGACGACCTCTACCGTCTCCGCTTTGGTCCCACTTTGGACCCTCTTGACTAGTATGTCCTGGCACACCGCTGTGTGCCTATCTTTGAGCTTGACATGGATCAGATTAGGACTGCTATGTATGTCATGTATGCTGATGACTCTAGTGTGATTAGAGCCTATTACCCGGTGTTGCTTAGTGTAGGTGTGTCCACTGTATGTAGCCTAGGTTCCCCTGCTACGTCAGGCGTAGGACCACCTGCCCTGTTTAGCCTCGGCTCCACTCTAGCTCCTCCGCAAGCTGCCGCTACCGCCGCGCCCTTGTTCATGCTAGTCTTTGGTGCGTCTGCCTTCTTCTTCCGCAACCACACTACGCTCACGCCGCTTGCTGCCCCTGCCGCTGTAGCGTTTGCTGACCCCTCGTCATGTCCAGTAGTTGCCCGTAGCTCCACTACCCTTCCCTGTCCAGCGGTTCCCTCGGGCTCACTTACAGGCTTGCACATCCCCTCGTTCTCCAAGAACCTAGTTGGTGTCAG